TATTCTAACAGAATTAAAACTGAATGGATAAGGCTTATCCCAACTAAGAGCTAACATGACCGGGTCTTCTGCTGCTATCCACTTTGACCGGGTCTTCGGCTGCTGCATGCATGCACGTATCACATAGTCTCACCAATTTCTTATTTGCATGTTAATATATAGGAATTGAAATGGATAGCACTTCATTTGTGCCACTGGCTCACTGCACATTAATAGATTCCAATGTATCCGCACATCAATTCTCATCCTCAAGCTAACAGTACCAATATGGGGAAAAAACATAAACCTTCTACTCTGATAAAGATTCCTGGTTTTCATGATACTAGACAATGACCTAATGTGAAGGGGCACGAAGAAGCACTATAGTAATAAAGTAGAAGGCAAATAACAAGCCAAAAACCCAAACAGATGTATGTAAGACCATGAACTAACAAGATCAACGAATTTGAAGCATAATGTAGAGAGAGAGAGAGAGAGAGAGAGAGCATGTGAATAAGATGCTCTTCACATCAAGGCGCATGGAATGGATATAACTTTTTTTGTCATAATGAAATAGGGAGACATTAATTCATGGATATGCTCCGGTCACCATGTACCGCATCAAATTGTCTTACAAGCAAAGGTTAAACTACCGAATGTGAAAGACAATTTTGTCCAAATTCAAATACAGCTCATCAGCTCAAGCCTGGCTCTGTTCAAATCAAAAGATAAAGAAGCAAAGAAGAAAAAGGGAAAGGAAAAAAGCGCATGCCCAAGGACAAAAAAAGGAGTCGAGGAATGAACTGAAAAACAGAGAATCAGCGGAGCATAATTAAAAACAAATATAACATAATACGATTGCTGCTTACATCAAATTAGACACGTGAAAGAGAGTCTAAAGCTGTTACAGCTCTCACCTGACGTAGTTCAGCACCAACCGGTTAGTACTGTTCATGACTTCATGTATCATCAACTACCAACCCACCCACATCGAACCAGAGAGTAACACAGAAGAAGACTGTGACAAAGAAAAAAGAAAGTAATAATGGAGATTGGTAGAGGGAAGAGGGTGAGAGGTTTTAGGAGCTTGAAACACCACCGACACCCATCGACAAGGAAATGTGGGAGAAATAAATAGCTGGAAGAAACAGTAAGAGAGAGAGGTAAAAGAGAATAAATTTGTGGGGACAATCGAGCTTTCCCAGTTTCCCTGAAATGAAAAACTGAAGCATCAACAAAATCACAAAATAAATTAAGGGTTCTATGCAAGTGGAACATCTGGTCCTGCGTAGAGTAATGACAATGGAGACCAGAGAGAGAGAGAGTGATGCGCGGATGAGAACGTGGTGCGGTAAAGTTTTGCAGTTGGAGCATATTGTTATCATGTTCCGTTGTAGATATTCATCTGTATCAATCCATCGATCCAAGAGTCTCCTTTTTTTTTTTTTTATTTGGTCAAATGGGCTACTTACATTTTCCCGGCAGAACAAAGACAGCAAGTACGGGGCCTTGGTGTTGGTGGAATATTATTGGGCTAAGACGCAGAGCGAGAGGGCCCACTGCCAAACGCCAACAGTGGTATCCAATATGGAGTTTTCGTTTTTTTATGACACCCACATTCAACACCGTGAAAAGGGTGATTAGAAAAGAATTTTTTTTTATGTAAAAAAATAATAATATTTATTAAAAACCTACTATGTAGAAATCATATGATATTGGAATGAATTATAACCACACCCCTGTATATTGGCATGCGTTTCTCTTTATGACATTGGGTCCAGGCTGAGGGGTTTTTTGGCTTGTCATACGAAAGTGTTATTTTCAGAGGCCAGTAGGGCTCTTTATTTCACGTTTTGTTTTTGGGTTTATTTGTTAAAAATAAATAACTAATTAATTTATTTTAGTATTTGGTGTTATAATCCCCTTTTCCCCAAATCGCTAGTTGCATGAATCGATTTCAAATTCCACGTTAATGTTGAGCAAAACAGCTAAGATATCAATTAAGTCATCCTATCGATTGGTATTTTTTAGTATTTGAATGCCAATGACTTGATTCATCTTTTGTTCAACGATTTGTGTGTCATACAAGGTGTCTTCAAGAAACCGACCTAGATTCAAAATATCACATACCAGAATTTTATGTGATGTTTGGTATTGACATCGATTTTTTTTTGTCATTTTTTAATCAACGATTTTTGAAACCAGTGATTAAAAAAGAAATGTACATTTTGTTACTTGAAATCATTTCTGCCATGTAAGCTGGTTTTTAATAAATCAACTTTGAACCTGTTTTTTATTGACTCTCACAGACTGATTATTTTTGCGTTGGAGTTGTTATTGAATGTCATGCCAAAATTGGCCACCCAAACAGCAATTTCGGCATTGATTCCTCTAATGTTGACGTGGCTATGATATGACAGTGATTTTCAAGAAATTGGCATCGATGCCAAACATCTCCTTAATCCATCCAATGCTACTTTGTTACGGGATTTTCATAAAACATCAAAATTTTTATCCCAACGGATGAAGGGCGATTTGGGCTTCCAATGACGTAATGACATGTAGCACTTCAAAATAGTCAGACAACATCTCAACATCACGTAAACAAACCTCGGGAGCACCTCGAACACTTCGTACCCGCCTTGATGACCTCGGCACCACCTTAGCAAACCGAACCATGAATGACCTGGCAATACTTCAAGTCGGTATAAGAAGCAACCTGCTTCCGCCAACCTAGCCCGAGTTTAGCTAGCGACCTGCCTAGTGTGCTGAGCTACCTCCTTGTTTAGCGGGTTATCATCTCTGACTTCCTCGAAATCATGACACCATGTCAGAAGAGCCGGTTATCACCCTACCCGCTTTGGACACGACATGATAAACACTACCCGCTTATGCACAGTCCATCTCTGGGTGTGAAACCACCTCCGAACCAGACGAGCAGGAGACTCGGACGTGCTTCATGAGCCTCATGGCAGCTAGCCTATATAAAGGCATCCCCATTCATAGGAAAAGGTACGCGTGATTTGTCATTCACAGCTCCTTAATTCTCTCGATTTTTAGCTCTCTCAAAACTCTTCGCTAACTTAAGCATCAGAGCGCTTGCCCCGGGTAAAGCAACCAGGACACTATGATCATCACTATTTTGTAACTCAGCTAGGCGACCTACTCAGTTCGATGTCTGAGCTATCTACCAGCAGGGAGCGCTAGATTGTGCAACATCAATTGGCGCCATTTGTGGTAACACGCTACATAAAAGCTAAGTTCTCACTCGTTCTCTAAGCCTCAAGTAATGGCATCCTCAAGCAACAACATCAACGCTTGGATCGAATGAACCCCCACAAGGAGCAGAATCAAAATGATCAGCTCGGACAAGTTCCATTGGTTTGTCGAGTCGCCTTCGCGGGTCGAGCCCTTCAAGGCTCTTGTGCGAGTTGACAACCTACAAATAGTGGAGCCACCTCCACAGGTTGAGCCCCCTGTAGCTCTCCTAGGAGTAGACATTAGCGTCTTCGAGAGCTGATGCAGAGCAGCCACAACACCAACCTACAAACGTAGCAATATGATAACTCACCAACTCGCAGCGTGATTAACGTGATCATTGGAGAGTTTGAGGCAGCAGGTTCCATCGCCTCCGCAGGTTGAGCCTTAACTCACGGGCTGAACTGTGAGGGGGAGAACCCGCCAAAACAACGAAGAGTAGAAGAGGTGATCTACTTCAATGAAGACGATACGCGTGGGATCTGTTACCCTCATAATGACGCCCTCATAGTCAAGCTCATGATTCACGACTATGAGGTAAAAAGGGTACTCTTTGATTCCGATAGCTCAGTAGACATCATGTTCCTTGGAGCTGTTGAGCAAATGGAACTATGAAGGGAAGACTTGACCTGAGCCAATGTACCCCTGGTCAATTTTGATGGAGTGGCCCAAGCTCTTGGACGAACCAACTTGTCCGTGACAGCATGAACCACGCCAGACAGGACGAGGTTCTGGTATGACTTTCTGGTGTTGGTAATGACATCACATACAACGCCATTCTAGACCAACCAATATTGCACGCCCTCAAAGCAGTGTTATTGACATACCACCTTGTTATGAAGTTCCCCATCGACCACGGGATATGAGTAATGCGTGGTGATCGGCTTGAATCGCGAAAGTGCTACATTGAAACATTGAAGCATAAGGGGAAGTAGGTCAATGTCGACCTGGAGCCACCCCCGAAGAACAACGAGGAAAGAGCTCACCCGATGGACGACATTGTCTTGGTGTCGGTCTCAGGTACCGGCCCCTCGAAGATAGTGTAGATAAGTGCATGCCTCAAGGAACCATTGTGCTATGAACTGGTAAGATTTTTAATTAATAATCTAGATGTTTTTGCTTGGTCATCTGTCGACATGCCTGGTGTAGACCCCTTTGTGAGAGCGTGCAGTATTGGTCACATATTCCGGTTATTACAAGTGAATGGGTAGTATGAGGCCCGGGAGCCCACCATGTTGGTAATGGGGTAGACCGCTCTGTTAGTAATGCGTCCATCTCGCAATTATTCATCAACCAAGTGAATGGGTAGTATGAGGCCCAGGAGCCCACAATGTTGGCCTACCTGGCCAAGGTTATAGAGCTCCTGCCCAACATCCACTCTTGGTACATCCAGCAGATCCCGAGGTCCGAGAACACCGGGGTCGATGTGCTTTCGAAGCTGGCCTATGCAATGGACATCATGAAGAGAACTGTCTACATCAAAGACCTGCCATTAGGGGTGCCAACGGTATTCGAAAATCCGATTTTGAATTCGAGATTCAACATAATCGAATCATATTCGATTCAAATATCTAATTGGTTAAATTTGAATATCCTATTCATAACAAATAGCTAATCAGATTCTAATTCGGATATGACCTGATTCGGTCAGATAAATATTTGAATTTGACAGATTATTTAATTCTTATATATAATATATAAAATATTTAAATGTCCAATATATTTTTTATATATAATAATTAAATTATATGAATAATTTATATATTTCTATACTTATATAAATAAAATATTTATTTTATATATTTATTAATTACCTACAATAATTAATTAATCGAATTCAAATCAAATTGAATATTCAAATATTTAATCGGATTTGAATCCGGATATTAATTTTCAAAATTCGTCGAATATCGAATCAAATTCGGATATCGAATTTTCTAATTGGATTCTAATTCGGATATTCCTTGATCCAATTCGAATTCAATCCGTTTACATCCCTACCTGCCACAACCAAGCAATGAAAGAGTGGCGGAAGAAGTCGCTCCTGTCATGGTCAGAGAGCTGAGTTGGATAGATCCGTTCGTCGACTATTTAGGCCACGGGACCCTCCTTGAAAATCGTAATACAGTTTGGAGGGTAGAGCGATAGTCAGCTTTCTATGTAATCATAGGTGAGCAACTATATCACAAGTCGTTCACGCTCCCCTAGTTACACTGCTTGCACCCAACTAAAGCGAGCCAGGTGTTATGCGAGATCCATGAAGGTCTCTGTAGAGGACACCTGGGGGCAGAGCGCTAGCCAAAAAGCGTAGTGACAAGGATATTACTAGCCGACAGTGAAGGCAGACGCCACCCAACTCGTGCAGAAATGTGATAGGTGTTAGCAGCACGCTAACATACCCGAGTAACCTTTTACCAACCTAAGGTACCTAACCAACCCGTGGCCATTTTTGCAATGGGGGATTGACATGCTTGGTCCCTTTCTACCGTTAACCAAGTAGAGAAG